TTATTTATATATTTATTTATAAAATAATGTATAAATTATTTATTATAAATATAAAATATAATATAAGTTTAAAAATACCTATTTATACAATTTTTTTAATAAAATATTACCTAGCTCATAGAAAATGAAGGAACATATGTGTAATTTTTTATATGTTAAAAATGTTAGTGTAATTTACTTTTAAATTTATTTAATATTTTTATAAGTTAATAATATAATTTTTTAAAAAAAATATTATCACATTACTCTCTTTATAAATAGATTTAAATACTTTTTATCTTATGATTTCATGAACTTTAAATTTTAACCTCTATGATTAAAGATATTTTATTTTAATTATATACATATATATTATTTTCATTTTTTATTTTTTTAGTTCTTATAACACTACATAACAAAGATTTTAAAAATAAACTATTATAAATAAACTAAAATAAATTTTTTTAATTATAGAAATAAAAACAAAATTTATAAAATTATAGACCCTAAAAATATATATATTTAAATTTTGTAGTCCATTAAATGTGTGGCGGGTGACATGCATGGTACGGATAGGCCCAATTAGTAACATTTAATTAATTAATTATAGTTTAGTTGATCTAAAACACCAGCATTCAACAAGCCTCTATCAGTACCTTCCATTTCCAACTTTGATTAATCACTTTAACAGTTGAGCTGTTTAGGACGGTGGCACTGCATTGTGAAACACCAATTTATACAGCAGAGCATACCAGACAATTTTGTTCTTAGAGTAGGTGTAAGCACATTACCAACCAAAAAATAATAATAATAATAATAATAAGCTAGCCAACGTACACCTTCAAAGAGTTTATATTATTATTAAAAGCTATTAACATTAAAAGTTATTAGCATGAATAATTTGACACATTATTATTTTTTAATTAAACAAAATTCGATTCATAATTTAAGTATAAAATTACGATCAAAAATATTTTTTAATTTTATATAAATCAACTTTGTGATAAAGAATTATATATGCTTATTTAATAATTTATATAATATATATATATATATATATATATATATTATTAATTGATTGCACAACATGCTAATACACTAACTTGCATTCAAAAGAAGAAGAAAAAAAAGTAAATGAATGTGTGAAATATATATAGCAGTAGATGAGGTGAAATAGTATACATAAAATTTAGATTATTCGAACTTCTTTTTTTTTTTATTTTTTATAATCATTGTATATATACAAAAGAAATGGTTTAAGTTTATTAGTATTTTAGTCTAAATTAATGATGTGTATAACTCATTTTAGAAATTTAAATGTGATTTAGTGCATTGTGTGTCAACTGGAGGGAGCTTTTGGTTCTGCTTTATTTCTTAAATAAGTATAGATGCAATGCATGCCAGCTTGTCCTAGGAGCTGTTTAATTCTTCACTATAAACTTCTATATACTTCCCCACCTCACCCCAATATTATTTTATCCTCCTAATTTTCGATTTTCTTTTAAGAAAGGCTAACAACTCTCTTTTAAACTTTTTTCTCTAATAATTTTTTATCAATAAAAATTTATTAAAAATTATAAATTCTTATGTATTTCATGTTTCATTTAATAAGCATCACTTAATTTTTGGTATAAACTATAAGTAATATCTAGCGAAGGGAATTCTGTTTAAAAGCCGTCTCTCTTGATTTAATAGTGTGATAAATATATCAATTTTTTCTTATTTTTTTTCCTCAAAAATGTTTAGAAATATACAATTAATTTTCTCTGAATAACTGAATACTTTAAAAAATTCTCATCTCAATTAGAATTAATTTTTTTATGTACAAGACTTCATGTATCATACATCAAACTGCTGTGTGATATGTTGAGTTAGGTAACCTATTAATGGTTCATTTTTTTCATGGATCACCATGCATCAGCTAATGTTAGCGAGCCACCAACTGAAATATGAAAAATGAAATAGTAGGCATGGGTTAATAATTATACAGTTAATGGCTCTACCTCGAGGAAGAGGAAGAGGACCACAACGTACGTGTATAAGATATCCCACCAAATCTCATGATACATATAGTGATTTTTTTTTCTTATATAATAATACATATAGTGATTCTTGTCTTTAATTATATACATATATATTCTATAGTTCAGGTAAACGTCAGGCTATCTACCCTGTAATTGACCAAATGGGATTTAGGTACTAATTAAATTTACTAGAGTTTTGATGACCTTTAATCTGTTTATTTAATCTTATATTAAGATTTAAGAAACTTAAGTAATAATATAATTTTATCACTAAGTGTATACGTTTGGTAAATAATTTCAGCTAGTTTCTAACTTAAAAAATGTAATATCGTAAGTTTTCATAAATTATTGTGTTTTTATCAGTAATTATATGTGTGATACTTGTATCGTGGTTGAGTGACTATATATATATATATATATATATATATATATATATATATATATATATATATATATATATATATATATATATATATATATATATATATATATATATATATATATATATATATATATATATATATTTTGCTTGGATAGTTGTGTACATATTGTATATATATTATATTTTGATTGACATGAATTGTTTAAGAATTAATCTTAGGTAGTTGATAGTTTTTTTTCGGCTGCTAATTGGTGATTTTAGCAAGTGTGATGACCATGATAGGAAGTTACATTTTTATGTTATTAGAGCTGATCAAGTCTTTTGGGCACTCTATGGGAGTGATCTCATTAGGTTTTTGTTGTGAGTCTTTACTTTATGATTTGTTTGTTGTGCAGTTGTTGTACAATGTTATTAAATGGTTTGTTGATCTCTATATAGAGTGCTAAAACCTCAATATGATCAAATTATTAGGGCCATGTAGATGATAACTATCGCAATGCAACAACAAAATGCTCATTTTGCTCAGATAGAGGCAATTAGAGCTACAACTGAGGCAACAAGGCTTGTGGTGTCACAAGAGGAAAGGGACTTGGTAGAGTTCAAGAAGTGTCATCCTCCCCAGTTCAAGGGGATTTAGATCCAAATGTGGCAAATCACTAGATGTGTGAAATGGAGAAAATCTTTGGTATATGTGATTGTGCTAATGAGAAGAAATTGGCATATGTTGTGCATATGTTTGTTAGAGAAGCAAAGTATTGGTGGAGAGACACCTGTCAAATGTTAGAAAGCAAGGGAGTAGTCGTTGATTTAAAGTGCTTTAAGAAAATATTTCTCGAGAAGTACTTCCTAGATAGTGAAATATGGTGGTAAAGTTTATGTAGCTATATTAAGGAAGTATATCCATATCATAGTACACAATGAAGTTTGAGCATATGACTCATTTTTACTCTTAGACCATATTAGAGGCTTTAAGATATAGAAATTTTGTAGAAGGGTTGAAACATTAGTTGAAGAGGGTATGTCTATTACAAAGTTTTCAACCTTAGTTGAAAAGGTGAAGAATGTTGAGAGGTTAAAGGGTGGAGGTGGTGGCAAGGTTGCCAAGACTCAATAGGTAGGGACCATCTCGGTCCAAGAAGGCAGGCTAGCAAAAGAGGCCCTATGATAGACCTCCTAAGCAATAAGGGGGTGTTATTATCGGGAGAACCTATATTGCTATTCCTTAGGGTGAAGCTCAAAATATTAAATGTTTTTAATGTGGAGGAGCTTACCTTGCTCGAAATTGTTCTCATGCTAAAAATTTGTACTATGGATGTGGCAAGTCAAATCATATATATCTAGAGACTATTAAGTAAAACCTACTTAAGTGAGAAGTACGCCAAGGTCAGAATGACTTATAATTGCTGGGAGGGTGTTTGTGTTATTTGGTGCGACAGACTTCTACTTCATTGAATCTTGTAAATGGAAAGGGCAATACAATGTTATGATTCTTAAAATTATTTTTTATTTATTTTTAAAATTATAATTTAAGATATTGATATATAATGTTAATTGGTAGATTTATTTTATTTTTAATATATATTTTGGATATTTTTAAATCTAAACTATTTATTTTAACCATTACAATAATTGACACAATGAATAGAGAAAAATAAAAGAATAATAATGTTATATAAAATATTGTAGAAATAATATAATTTATTCAATTAATATGTAGTCATATATATTAAAAATATATTTTTTATTTTAAGGTTACATTTAAATAAGTTCAAGTATTGAAATCGTAAATTCACTTTGGATAAAAAGAGATGAAAAAAAGGAATAAGATAGAAATAGAAATAAAAGATTTATAAAATAGTTATCATAGAAATTAATAGTTATTATAAAATTAACAATCTTGGATATATAATAATTTACTATTAGACAATAGTGTAAGATACCTGTAGTCTAAGTAAAAAAAAAAGTGTTAAAAATACTTTATATTGTAAATATATTTTAATTTTATAATATTGTAAGCATATCAATAAGAGATGAAAGTTCTAAAAGAAAAATGAATCACAATCGTACAACCGAAATGAAATGTTAAGATTGAAATAACGAAAACAATGTTGTAGATATCACATGTCACATATAATAAGGATATTTTTTTGCTGCAACAAATATTTTACTCCGAAAGGATGAACTAATTAACTTTTCTTAATTAAGATAAGACGGATGGAGAATTCGTTAAGTGCACTAAAAATTTCCTTTGGGTAGGGTTGCAAAGCTGCAATTCTAGTTTGAGACTGCTACTGTGCTACATTCTCTGCACATAATTGGCGTCTTCTGTTTTGGTAATTAACAACGGATAACCAGTATTTCTCCCACGATAGCGACACACCGCAAGATAATCGCCATTAATGGATGCTGAATTTTGAAGTTAACGGAACCTGAAAGTGAAATTAAACTAATTCTCGTGTAAGCATACGTTTTAGGCTTTTAGCTTAGTTTTAGAAAAGTAATAATAACTACTACTTAAAAAAAAAAATTAAGAAAAATGAGTTCATCACTTCATCCTCCTAAGTCCTAATAAATACGCAAATACATTACTACTAAAAAAGCTTATAATTATAAATAAAGACGAAAAATTGAAGGGTGGGAAGCTGGTGTGGTAGACCAGCTGTGACTGTCGGCGTATGCTCCACATGCGTTTCTCTCCTTCTTCCTCTTTCTCTCTCTAGACTTAGAAAGAGAAAGAGTGATTCATTGGTTCTTCTTCTTCTTCTTCTTCTTCAGTTTCGCCGTAACAAAAAGGAACCTCATCATTGCAATTTCTGAGCAAGATAATTACGCTGCGTAATTCACATTATTGCAATCATTACGGCATTGCCAGAGTGTGTGAGAGAGAGAATTGACCATTGAGTGTGGCCGAAGCACTGCATTGATTGCGGAGACAAGTTAGGGATGAGAAAAACCGGGGAACGTTAACCTTCCACTGCGGAAGCAATGTAGAATTTCGTTCGGAGCAAAAACCGCGGCTAGGAATGCTTTCGGCGTCGTCGCCGGAGGTCGGAGAGTGAATTTCGTTCGGAGCGGAACCGGTTTACTGTAATTGGATCGAGAGAGCGATGGAGTCTCGGATGGATCAGTACGAGATCATGGAGCAGATCGGTCGCGGAGCGTTTGGCGCTGCGATTCTCGTGAACCACAAAGCGGAGAAGATGAAGTACGCGCCACTTTGCAATTTCGCATCTCGATTGCGTTCGCTTGAATTTTGAGAACTAACTAACGCTTCGTTTGGTTTATGGATTGCAGATACGTGTTGAAGAAAATCAGGCTCGCGCGGCAGACTGAACGATGCAGAAGATCTGCTCATCAAGAGGTTAGGTTTTCGGTTTCTCGCTTGTTGAATTGCTTCGTGCTCTGAGATTTGACCGTTGTGGACTATTTTTTGGGAATTTTAGATGGCTCTTATTGCTCGAATCCAGCATCCTTACATTGTGGAATTCAAGGAGGCTTGGGTTGAGAAGGTGAGACAAACCACACCGTTTCAATCGTTATATTGCAGTAGTTGTAAACTGGAATTGGTTGTATTATAACGGTTTTCTTTCTAGCTAAGCATTTTTTGGTTGTATTGTAGGGTTGCTATGTTTGCATTGTTACTGGATACTGTGAAGGTGGAGACATGTGAGTATTCGATAATGCCTGGGAAGTGTGAACTCCTAGTGTCATGTGAACTTCATGAGTTGTGCATGCGGGATTACTTACTATTTTGTTAAGTTTGTTTTCTCTTTAAATATTTAACAGGGCTGCATTGATGAAAAAATCAAATGGGGTTTACTTTCCTGAGGAGGTATTTTTGCGCAGATATAGATGATTTCTTTTATTCCTATATTTTCTTTTTTTGAATATTTTGGTTGCTCACGTTGGATGTGTTTGATATTGCTTAGAAACTCTGCAAGTGGTTTACTCAACTACTCTTGGCAGTGGAATACCTGCATTCAAATTATGTTTTACATCGTGACCTAAAGGTATTACTTAGATGAAACAAGCTGTATGATAATCATATGGCTTTTATTTTCTCCTAATCTTCCATTTGAAAATATATTAAATTATTTTGTCAACTCTGCTGCCAGTGTTCCAACATCTTTCTTACCAAGGATCAGGATGTTCGCCTAGGTGAGTTCATCTGCCATGTTTTATTACTTTAGGGATAGATTATGAGGTTCTCATCCTGAGTTTTGTCTGTAATTTTCTGACATTTTTATAGGGGATTTTGGGCTTGCTAAGACACTAAAAGCGGATGATTTGGCTTCTTCGGTATGTGAGAAATGGGAACTTGCTGCTTTCTTTTTCTTCTTTTAAGTCAGTTTTTTATTTTATTTTTATTTTTATTTTTATTTTTATAAATTTTAAAGGATGCATGGGTTTATGCTGAACTTTACTCTGTCAAGTTTCTACAGCATTGATGAATCGTACAAGTGAACATCATATGCTGAGCAGTGAGTAGCACTTAAAACCAAGTCAAGAGCTTAGGGTTTTTCATCCTTAAATCATTCCCCTTGCTTGCTCCCTCAGTTGGACATATTTAGTGACACTCCACTCTGAAAATACCTATTCATATTGGCATATAATCATACAATTTTGTGCACCTCCATACCAAATTTAGTACCCTAGAGTATCTGTCCATGAGAACAGAAAGCTTCAGTTTGTTACTATGTTTCTATTTGATAAGCCATTATCCGTGAACTAATGAAAACCTTCACAATTATGTTGAAATCCTATAGATTGTTGGTAAAAGAAAAAAAAAAACTACAGATATGCGTTGAAATCCTTTCAAATAAGTTTCTTCAGCTTATACTCAAATCTCTTATAATGCGTCCAATTCTTCCATTATTTTTATTTTTTTTTCTTTGTAATACTAGTTGCTACAATTTTTTATTTCCTGCTTTGTTGACCACAATGACACATAATCCTATGCCTATATATCTTGAAAGTGGGTAAATGTTAGTTCAATTGGGATGACCTATAGGGTGTCAGTAGCAATCAATCTTCAGCTGCATACCCTTCTCTTTCTCTCCATTGCTGATACAGTCAGCAAGCTTTTCTTATTTGTTAATACTACATTTCAGAAATTAAAAAATGTGGAGAGCAATTGAGTGTTGTTTGAGTAGATTAAATTAAATTCCTTGCTTCAGATTTGCTAAATAAGACCAATGGTTGTTACTATCAGTGATAAGATCATGGTTTTTCTTGAATCTAATTCAGCTGGAAGACTATGTTGTAAAGAACTTCATTTTTATCAACTCATATTTTGGAAGGGTGAAATCCATGTTTTAATAATTTCCAACTATTATAGGTTTATAATATGACATTTATGACATTGGTACCATATGATTAATATTACATTTATTTTATACACGTGCGGTTACTTATTGCCAAAGTTAATTGCTGTAAATATTTGTGTGCAGGTGGTAGGAACTCCTAACTATATGTGTCCTGAACTGCTTGCAGATATTCCTTATGGATTCAAATCTGATATTTGGTCACTAGGTATATTTTTTTGGCCATGAATATCTGATATTGGTTTTGCTGCAGGCTAAAATGCACTTTTTTTTGTTCAGGGTGTTGTATATACGAGATGGCTGCTCATCGCCCAGCTTTTAAAGCCTTTGTAAGTTTTACTTTTTTTTTTTTTTGACTTTATAGTAATTATAGATTTGCAATAATCAGTTGTCTCATTTAATGCACTGTCATTAAGTCATATATGAACGTAATATCTCATTTGTGCATTGAAGATAGGGAAGTTGTCTTTTTGTGCAAAAGAAAGAGAGGTATTGATTTGCATAAATGGTTCAGAACGATTGAAATTAAATACTGTAACAAAATTTTGGTCAAGAGTTCCTATAATTTTTTACTTATTTTGAAGTATTTGTAGACATGCTACAATCTTTTGCGAATTCTTGTCATATGTTATCTCAAGTTTGAATCTGAACAAAATACCCCTACCAGAATCCTCATTATGACCTATTTTATGATTATTACTATTCAGTTATCTGTGATGGAGTTCTAACTTCTAAATTTAAGCTTGTGAACCCAGTCTTGTCTGATATATTTATGTATGTGAATGCAATTTGTCATCATGTTCTTTTCTTTGACAAGCACGGTAAATCTTGTTACAGGATATGGCAGGCTTGATAAGCAAGATAAACCGTTCCTCAATTGGCCCTTTGCCTCCCTGTTATTCCCCATCTTTGTAAGTTTCATCTGATTTTGTTCAGGCTAGCATCATTATGTTAATAGAAAGTAAGTGATTACTCAGGTTTCCTGGTGAAATCAGGTTCATATGACAGAAAATTATGGGTACTAGTAGGGGTTTAAATGGGTAAGGTATTCGTGAAAATTATTTCAGTTCGGGTTGCTGAATGCACAATCAAGCTCATATGTTCAGCTAAATAAACATACTAAAACTTCAAGTTAGGCTCAATTATTTAAATGAGTAAAACTTAATATTTGTAGACTTAACATTAATTGCTCGCATGCGTAAATATTTGACCCAGAGATTCGTAATTCTATTAATTAAATTTACTAGGGGAATTGTTATTTTAGTTGTTATTATAATTATTATTATTATATTATATTTACCACTTACCTAATTTCAATTTTCAAGAATCATATTTTAAATGAGTGACATTCAAGCCTTTTCAAAATAAAAAAAATAAAAAAATTCATTACGTTTGTCATCAAAGATTTCATCCGAGTCTTAAGTAGTCTTGGTGAATACAAAATTATATTTATTCCTCCTTTTACTTCACCTATCAGATGATATATGGTAAATACTAAATCAATAAACTTAAAAATAACTACAAAGGAAAAAAGGCCAATAAAATGCTCAAGCTTTAAATTTGACTCATTTAAATAAATGATTCAATCTTGAGCAACTTTTTATTTTTTCACGACTCACAAGTCAAGCATAAACAATAAATACTTGACTAGTATGGCCTCACGTAAAAGCTGGTGTAGGTGAATTTGAGGACATTGTTATAGTCTGCATTTGTTGTGCACCACCCTAATTTTTATTTATTCTCACGAACGCTGTTGGACTTGGTTTTTAATATGCATTATCAATGAACATGAAGTTGAGATCTATAAAAAAGACATGCTAACTTAATTGTCTTCTGCTTTTGCTTCCATTCATAAGGAAAAGACCAAAAGGCTTCTGTTTGGCATTAAGAGAAGCTTAAATCTATATAGGTTTAGGAAAAAGTGTGTATGTATATAGTATATGTGTGTGTTAGTGGTCACATGATTAATTACAAAAGTCATACACATTTATCTTTCAATTTTGACTATTCAAGTATGATTAAATGTTCAATATTTAATATTCTTATTTCTCATAATAACGAAGTGCTCTCACCTAAGTAATTTCCTATCTCTATCCATGCACACTCGCACACATATATTGTGCGGATCAAGTTATTACCTTCTATAACTCTTTATATATATTAAATTTCAACAATTTAACTTTTAAATTATAAGTTCTTATTGACTACATTAAGTTAACGAATTCTTATCAACTTTGAAGACTATTTGATACTTATATAAATTCAAATAGCATATAATATAATTTTTTAAATTACAAGTAAATGCTAATTATAAGATCAACTAACTACAAATGTCTAAATTATCTAAAATATGGTATATATGATCATTGCAATAATATCAAGATATTCAACGGTTATATCGTCGATATTTAATATATAATAAAAATTCTCTCTCTCTCCCTCCCTCTCTCTCTCTCTCTATATATATATATATATATACACACCTTCTAGTTCAATTCTCACTTCTCTTGTATGTGCACTGGAAATCTTAGTCTTTGGTTGATACTCACAGGAAAACACTGATAAAGGGCATGCTGAGAAAAAATCCTGAGCATCGTCCAGCAGTAAGCCTCTCTTTATGAGTGATATTATTTTCAATGTTGCCCTGGTTTCCTTTTGTTGCTTATCCTGAACAATTTCATTATCTTTCACAGGCATCTGAAATCTTAAAGCACCCTTATTTGCAGCCTTATGTTGATCAATATCGTTCATCTTTCTGTACTCCATCAGCCACTTCTCCTGAAAAGCCGATTTCTGCTGTCCATGATCCTCGAAAAAATATGCCAGAAAGTCAAAACAGTAGTAGTTTGAGTACTGACAAAGATAGTTTGGTGTCAAATGAGAAAAACACTGCAAAAACAGTGCAAAAGTGTGATAACAAAATCACTGAAATAGACTTGACATCAGTTGAGGATGATGGCTCCGAGCATCTCCTGCCTGGTGAAGAGGGAAATGGATCCAGAAAAGTCAATGGGAAATCAGATGAGCAAGAGGTGATGAAGCAACTTAATAACGAACACCATTCTAATGTTGTTTCTAAGCAACCAAAAACAACTAAGAATCAAGTGACAACATTAAAAAATGGAAAACTTAGAGAGACAAGTTCTCCAATTAGAGGCAATCGCATAAAGGGTGGTGGTGTATCGATCCATAAAATAAATACAGAGACAGTGTCCAAATTGCCCAAACCTAATTTCGGTGCTTATGATTTGAAGCCTAATTTGGAGGTGCCAACTATTGCACCTTCAAAAGCAACACCTGATTCTGCAAAAAGAATGCAAGGAGCACATACTTCAAAGCATCAGGTACATTACCATTATAAATGATATAATGTACTATTAGTTACTTTTTGATTTTGAAGATTTTCTCGTAACATTGAAATTTATTTCTGGTATATTTGATACATGCTGGCAGTTACCAATGATAGAATCCATACCAAAAGCTAAACCTCGACATAATGTGATTCCATCATCTGGTCCTATCAAACAAGTAGAAGTACGAGAAGTTCCTGCCAAGCCAAGGCAAAAGACTCCACCGAGTTTACTTAAACCACCTTCTTTTCCAGGACATGTGAAGCAGGCTGGGTTTGATGTTCCAAATATTACTGGAAAGTCAATTCTAAATAAAATGGTTAGAGAGCCTGAGACGAGCCATCATCAGTTGACCAACAGTAATCTACCACATGTTTCTAGAGAGCCTTTGACCACTTTTGAAAGCAGTTCCAAAGGATTGCAGACAGACAGCAGCAATTCTGTCTCGTCCTCGGTCTCTATTCAAGGATTTGAACTTTCTGATTTTGCAACAACTTTTATTGATTTGAGTGAACCAACACATCCTGATCATGAGAGTTTAAACCACACTGAAAATGTGGAATCACATGCAGATAGCAGTTCACCTGCGGCCTCTTTGCATTTTGAGATGTCTGAACAATTGTCTAGGGAAACCTCTATGGTTACACCCCAATTTCAGAATATAGTGAATAGTAATGAGAAAGTAAGTCCCAGTTTTCACTCAGTTCAAGATGCTAAGGTAATATTTGTTTCTGATGATAGTTTTCCCATAAATCAGACAACTACATCTGCTGCCTCCAAGTGTGATAATATATCCGTAGATCCCTCTGCTGAATCCACACAAGAAATTGAAGACCCGCAAGATATTTCTAAGGAAGTGGCTTCAACCAAGTCTCTCCAACATTCAGTCTCCATTTCTGGAGAAAAGTGTGTTTGTGAAGAATTCAGTCCAGCAAGCAAGCCAAATAATAGGGTTGATAAAGTTAGCCAGCCAAAACTTACGTGCATTTCCACTGGTGATGACAAATTCATGATGAGGGAAAGACTTTCATCAGTGGATGAAACTGCTCCTTTGGTTATCTCTACTAAATTTTCAAGCCAGAAAGTTTTGCAAGAAGAGAAAGGAACAGTTTTACAGAATCCAGCACCAGAAAGGCCAGCTGTTGGCCATCTTCCTCCAGCTTTTGATGATGTCATTCATGTCATACGCCATAGCAGTTACCGTGTGGGGAGTGAGCAGCCAGTGAAGGAATCTGTGGAGATGGGAGTTCAAAATGTAGATGTTGGTAAGTTTATAAACATTGCAAGGGATGATTTAGAAATGAGAAACATGAGCACTCCTTTGACCCTAAAATCCTCAAATTGCTCTGAAGCTATTGGCTTGAAGTCAAATATTTCTGATAATGTGGAAATCAGAAACTTGACTAATCCTCCTAACTTAAAATCTTCGAGTTGCACTGACTCTTTGAGCATGAAATCAAGTTTTTCTGATCATTCTGGTGTTACGGAACAAGATGTGAAAATCCCGGATTCAATTATTTCAAAATCTGATTCTTCCGAGTATACCAAATATAACACTCCAAAAGCTGAAGAGGAAACACCAGCAAAGGAAATTTTGGATGTTAAATCTTCCAGGCAGAGAGCAGAGGCACTTGAAGGGCTGTTAGAACTGTCTGCAGATTTGCTGCAGCAAAATAGATTGGAAGAACTTGCAGTTGTTCTGAAGCCCTTTGGAAAAGATAAAGTCTCCCCGAGGGAGACAGCCATTTGGTTAGCCAAGAGTCTAAAAGGATTGATGGTTGAGGAAAGTGGGGGACGCTGTTAATGGGTTTTTTTACTCCTTGGTAAGTTTGCTTGTGTTTTATATCTTCAATCACTTTTCTACTTCATATAGCTTTTCAAATGCCACTTGAATTGAGCGAACAAACAGGCTTTATCGTTTCTTCTTTCATTTTTTTTGTTGTAATTCTTTTAGTTCTTTTTATGCTGTTGTAAATAATAGTGTAACCATACGAATGAATAACATCAACTTACGGTCAATTGTGTGGACATACTCTCGCTCTCGCCAGGCTCATTAACAACCGATATGCTCCATTAGTCTTCTCCCTAGATGGTCAACTGCAATTATGCTGTGATGAACCAAATAGAAAAGGGGGGAAAAAAAATGAGCTAGTGCTATATTCTACATACTTTTACTTTATGGGGGTAGTGGTTAAAGAAACAATGTAAAAAAAAAAAAATCACAAAATCAAAGTATTTATTATATCAGACCACAAAAATTGTTTAATAATTTTCTGAGTAATTGTAAATATTTATATTTCCTTAATTATTGTTCTCAAACACTTGTTACAAATACTTGTCTTCTAAAAAAAAAAAAAAAAGAAACAAATCAGTATGATGTAGATTATATAGAATTTTTTAATTAAGTAAATTTTAAAATATAGTATAAAAGAAAGATTTTTGTATTTATTAGATAAATATTGATAACTAATATAAATAAATAAGCAAAAGAGTATGCGTAATTTAGATGTAGAGGAAGATGACTAATTAAAAATAATAAAAAGTATAAATGCTTGAAATTTAAGATGGAAAAAATAGTATCAACTATTAAAATAATTAAAGCGGGATTTGAAAAAATAAATAAATAAAAGTAATTACTCAAGTTTTTAAATTTAAAAATGTGCAATATATTTAGTAATTAAGAAAATTATCAAAAAGACATGTAAAATTAGAATTATTAAATGTTTGGTCGACGAGTTTTACAAAATGCAAATCTAAATTAATCTTTAATTATCAATTTTAAAATATTTCGTTGATTATGTTCATAAAAAAATTAAAATTATTTAAAAAAAAGTTTAACACAGAAAAATCATATCTTAATTAACCGGTAGAAGTCAAATGCTTTATCAATAATAATGATCATTGTTTAAAGAAGTACAAAATCTTATGCTCGGTTCAGTTTGAGAAAAAAAAATTATTATTTTTTTTAATTACAAAATATCACATTATCTTATCTTTTCAAAATATTTATATAAGGAATAGTAAAAATAGAAATTGATAAACTTATTTTCATCTTTTTTTATATGGACTTTTGAAAATATGAAACTTAATGAAAATAAAGTATCATTTTAATTAAAAATTAAAACAGGACATATTTTTCTCAAAGCAAATGTTGATCAGATGGTATAAATAAATCGGCACTAATAAAATTATTAAAGAAGAAAAATTATATAGTTGTATAATCATTTTATACAATAAAAAGATAAATAAAAGAGAATAAAAACATATAATAAAATAAATTATATGTTAGAGAAGAAAAAAATCTTTGAACGTGCATTTTTTTTTTTTTTTGTTTACAAACTGGCCGGCCACATTTTCACTTTTGTCGATGATCATTTAATTTATATCTATACGTCATGCTTGCCAAACGGTTTGATAACCACTAGTTCATGGTTATAGACATGTATACTACCCCTCTTTGTTGTATTAAAAAAAATTTCAAAATAAGTATTATATTAATTTTCAATAAACATTAATTTTAGGTAATTTTACTGATTATATATATATATATATAAAGATAGAGTAGAGATTTATTTATTTTAAAAGTAAATTTTAATAAATTTATTTTATTAGGTGGATGACTAGTGGTGAGTCTTCAGCGGATCGGCGGAGCTGATTTCTTTTGTGGCTGTTTTGTTGTTGAGCTACTTGGGATAGTAGCATTTGGTTGAAATTTTTGTACACTTTAACTCTGTTCAAATTGGATCATGTATATGTATATTCTAGACTCTATATGTATACAATTATTCTTTTCTGTGCGGTGTTTCTAGTGTGTTGTGCCGTGTTACAATTATAAATTAAATTAACTATTTTTTTTAATATCAGTGAATTAAGTAATTGAATGAGAGTATTTCGATTAGATATTGCTTTTAAATGCTATTGAATGTCATACGAAAGTAGTAAAAGTCTTTAAAGGCTTTCATTTAATATTATTGAAAAGATAATGCTTTTAAACACCGTTGAATGTTGCCATTAAATAGCATTGAATGTTGCATTTAAATTTTAATACTGTTGAATGCTTCACATGCAAGGAAAAAAACTGTCTCACAATAATTATAACATCTATAAAAAAAATTCAAATTGAATTATTTTCTCACTTATAAATATAATATTTTTCGTCCTATAATAAGCGTCACATTTAAAAGAAGAAGAAAAACAAGTCTTAAAATAAATGTGGTTTAACTTTTTAATATTAATTTATTTATCATGTTTATTTATAAATTAAATCAACTTTTATATATTAAAACATCAATATTGTTTTAAGGGGTTATTTAAATTGATAGAAATATTTTTTACTTTTTTTTTATACTTTTTAT